AATTCAGTAGCAATAGGCACTAATCAGTAAGAAAAATGGCCATGATACAACATATCTACGAGTTGGCCAAAAGATGGAAAAACTTTTCGACACGACAAGTACGGAACCCTAAAATATAAATATATTTTAGTATCAAGGCTTTTCAAACAAATATTGGACATTTTGGTATGTCATCAGCATCGGTAACACGGAATCACACCACATAAACTTAACCAAGTGTGAAGCTAATGCTCAAGAGGTCCATGCCCAGACCTTGAGCGTTGTTTGTGGGTATAATAGGTAATTATTAGAGATGAATGATATTTACCGAATGGAATTTTTGAAGTAAACCTTCTTTAGGTGCGATTTAAGGATAACTCAGGTATATTTTTAGGGCGGAAATAATGTTCAGTAAAATGTTTGTTTTATCGATATAATGGATATTATATACATTTTACTGAATTTTTTTTATCAATATAACATTATCCATTTAAGTATTTATAAAGGCATTTTGCAGCGGTTTGCAGGTGGTTGCCTAGTAAAGATCGCTTCTAAGCGATAAAAACTTTAAATAATATGTTATTTCTTTTTTTTCTTTATTATTGATGCAAAGTTTGTGTGAAAAACATTGTAATAAGACGCACAGCCTAAAACGCTGAACGTAGAAGCATGAAATTGGCACAATAGCTTTGTTTTATTATCAAGGCATCCAATGAAAGGATTTAGATAAATTCAACCCCTAAGTCAGTGAAAAAAAGTGTTACAGAATGTATGAAACTTTTTAATTTACTTTTATTTCGTTGAGAAAATAAATGAATACGTATTTTACTTCTAAACTACGCAATCACGCAACGAATTTTGATACGGTTTCCTCTGTAATTTAGAGATTTTTTAAGGAAGGTTAGTATGTTAGTATGTAGAGAAAGTTCAATATCTTTTAAATAAGTAGTAAAAAAATAGATATTACGGCGCTTACATCGCTTGTTAAACCTTAAGAGACATCAAAATAATGTACAAATAATTGTACTTTAAAAAGTCTAGAGTAAAAGTCCGCGATAGCACATGTCTATCTCCTAAGGTTGACGCACAGTAACCATTTTTATCTTTAAATTATTGATTAAAATATCAGCTTGTTTGCAAAGATGTTTTCTCTAATTCAGTATTAATATTTATCTAGATAAATATATTACTTAACTTAGCCATTTCATAAATTTAAATTTGAAATGTAAATTTAAATTATATCATTCAAATAAATACTTTAGTAGATATCACATATACAACATTTCAGGAATCCTTGTTTAGCTCAAAGGGCATTAGACAATGGAAGAATTAATCTTGATAACGAATGTCCTTGCGTTTTAGAAAATGACCTTCAAGAATTGGTAGACAAAGTTTTTCCCAATATAACCATTATCATTTTCAGTGACGATCAACAAATCACAAGGTCAAATATTCAATGAAAAATTCAGACCTGAGTCAGGTTCTTCCAATCAAAGCAGTGACGGACTGACATAGGCTCGAGGATAACCTCGAATTTATGAACTCAGAACATTTAGATTAGGTGCCAGTTGTTATTAACATCAAGGAGACGGCTTTAGAAGTCATCTCCCATCTCAGCTCTCATATTAAGTTGGTTGCCAGAGAATCTTTGAGGCAAGTCAGGACGACGAGCGATTGTCGTTTTGAATACCCCAAGGATATGCGAAATGTACTGAGACAGAAAAACGATGCGGTTATAGAACCGTCAATAATAGTTCCAACTCTGTCGAGAGGTCAAGTAGCGCATGGCCCAGATGAGGAATACACGTTAGGACAGACTGATGGAAGGCATCTCGCCTTCACATACTGCCTTCTGACGGTTGACGAAAGCTCTGAAATCAGAAAATGTCACTTTGATGCCCCCATTAGTTAGACCTGATAGTCAGTTCGCGTTTTATGACTCGAAAAAGGCCGAACGCATAGCAGATAAAATCGAGAGCCAATGCTCCCTCAGCACTCTTCCTGTCGATTCCGTCCACCTGGTGGACGAGAAACCAACTGATTTATCCGCCACGTCACCAACAAAAGATCCTCCTTTTCCCGTTACCCTCGATGAGCTCGTTGACCAAATTAAATATCTCAAGCTTCGGAAAGTACCAAATCATGACAAAATGCAATAAATGCGTTTGATAACTAAAATCTTCTAAATAAAAGTGCGCACCTGGGCACACGATGTTAAGACCAGTACCAGGCGCTGACAGCATTAATAATAAGATGTTTAAAGCCTCTATCCTTTATCCTATCTTCCAAATTGATCTGCCTTCTAGTGGCTATCTTCAATGTCCTATTTATACACTACACTTTTTTTCTAACCTGCTGTTTTTACAAACCAAACAAACCCAGAGATAGGGCTTTCAATTATAGACCCATCAGTCTTCTCAGTTTTATGGGAAAAATCTATGAGCGCATCAACTTCAGCCGTCTGAAATATGTAGTGCTAGACGAAAATTTAATTCCTAAAGAGAATTTTGAGCCTAACACTCATGTATCCAACAAGTGCACCTTCTCACGGAGCACATCTTAGATTACAACGCAAATTTGAACAGGTGCACTGCGTTTGCAGATGATCTATTCTTCGATGTGACTAAGGACTTCGACAAGGTCTGCCACAAAGGATTGGTTTATAAACTTCTCAATACAGGTATGCCCATAAGACTTATCAAAGTCATACAAGACTTCCTGCTCAATCGCTCTTTTCATTTTCACGAAGCAGGCAGATTCTTCTCCTCTTCCAAACCCATCGGGGCAGGAGTCTGTGCTCCCCCTGACTCTATACTCACTCTATGTGAGTGATATCCACATGATGCCTGATACTCGTCTTGCACTGAATGGAGATGACACAACAATATATTCGTCCGATAATAACACATTCAGAATATGCATTCGATTCCAAACTGCAGCAACTAGGCGATTGGTGCAGAAAATGGAGAGTCGAACTTAATCCCGATAAAAGCAAAGCTATCATGTTCAACGCGATAGCTTAAGCAACATGAAAAGTACAGTCTCCCTCTACAATAGCCCAATACCTTGTGATGCTACCAGTCCATTTCAATGAAGCTGTAAAGGGCGCAAGGCCAACAGCAAAAAAAAGACTGACTCATCTATCAACGCACAGCCCAGACCGTTTGATGTAGTATCTGAAAGGACAGTAGCTGCCTTTCAAGAAGTCGTTTGACGTTTTAGGCTTCCACTAAGAAAAATTCAGTCCCTAAGAAGTTGAAATAAGGTATTACAGTATGTATGAAACTTTTTATTTCACGCAGCGATTCATTTGAAACTTACTAAAAGTAAACTATTTTTATTATGTTATGTATGTTCAAATTTGTATAGAGAAAAAATTGTTTTTTATAAAATTCACTGTTAAGGTTTCAAAATAAGAACGTTTTATGAGAATAAAGTTTTTACACCGTAGTCGGATGTTGAAAGTTCCGCCTAAAGTTCAAAATTTTTAACAATCGGGTCGGATTTTGATGACTTTTAAGCTACTATTATAGTTAGCGGAATGATATATATTTATTCTAACGATTCGACCTCTACGTAACACTATAGTGAAAGCATCATCCAAATCCGTTACCAAGTTTTCGTGCGAAGCTCGTTCAGGCAGACAGACAGGCAGCCATGCAGACAACGTTTCCAAAAATCATTGTTTTGACACCTTTATCCACAGTATAGACATTGCTGTACCAAAAGTACCTACATGCGCTTAAATTGAGACACCAACTCGTGTTTAACTATTCAAACTAGTTTATGCAATTATTTCATATTACCTCATAAAATATATATTTAGTTCAAAATAGTAGGTAATTTACCGTTTTTTAAAGTATTGAATCTAAAATTTGTCAAAAATACGGATGCACTTATCAAATAATATCAGCCATATTAGATTAAGGTGTTTCTGGGGCCACCGCAAAGCCACGTAAATTTAAAATTTCAAGAAAATAATATTCGACGTACAGAAATTGTCCTCCTGGAATTTTAACATGTAACATAGATATTGATCATTCTTACATATAACGAAAATAAATCTAATGTCTTGAGAATACGTACAGAATTATTGAGGTCTTGGAACGGACCTGAGTAACACAACACACATTTACATAATCAATAATGGGTAAAACTTGGACTTTATGGGAAGGGAAAGTCTTAGGTGATGAGTTTCCAACTAATTTATTTCACCAGAATCTCAAACCTACCTGTTGTTATAAGGTTCGAGGTAATTTTAGCATTGAGGCAATGAAACCCGAAGAGGTGTCTAAATAAGAATATTTTTCTACTTACGTGTTCATCTGTATTTTGCACCACCCTCCTACTTATTTCTACTGGGCTGCTGTGTTCTCGTTTGAAAGCTTAGGAAGCTCGCATAGTTGCAGACTGTGAGGTATTTCATCTTAATCCTCAGGGGCGACAAGACATCTATGGACTTCGGAGTTTGAAGTTGGTTTCTGGTGTCCAAGGGCTGCAGTAGATACTTATCATCAGGTGGACTATATTACCTCGTTTGTTACTCTAAACTATAAAAAAGATGTCTTACCTTGAGTCTGTTTGCTATTAACTTCTAACAACATTATTTTTAACAAAGATATCATTTTTAAATTGTGGACATATAATTTAAAAATAATATCTTTGTTATCATGTGAAAGAACGCAGTAAAAATTATTTACTTGGTAAAAGTATTATATCGCAATCTATTTAGACATATAACGTCCAATGTGTTATTATATATAGTACGCAATATATAATAAAATGCAATATATCTTCAGAAGATGAGGAAAATGGAAGGCGTGATTTTCAACAGAATCCTTTGTTGGAATTACTATTCCGTTTATGAGACATCTAGCAAATATTAGTATCGAACTAACAAGTCTAGCCTATAACAGAGATGTATGAGAATTAATGGTAAATATAACTTCATCAGTTGATACAAGTACAAATATGTTTTTAATAAATTTAACCTTATTCAACTAATAGAATAAAAAACTTACCGTTACAGGTAAATTCAACTCATGAGTCTCATTACCCCGCCACAAACGTGACTCCCGCGGCAACACGGGCAGATCACAATCTATAGCGCCTAAGTGATCTTGAAAATGTGGCAGCGAATGCGCTGCACCACTAAACGCGCTAGACGTTATATTTAACTTTTGCCTTCCAGCACTTTTCACTGAGCCCTTTGTTTTAGTTTCCGTCGAAGTTTTTGTGCTTAGCGAGGCTGTTGTGCTCTCGGTCGCCGCGTACGCTATTGTTGTGATAACGTTTTCCTTTGTTGTTGAAGTTGCAGTAGACAAAGATTCTGTAGAGCGTAATAGCTTGGCACTTGACTCTGTAGAAGGTGGTGAATCAGACGCGGGTGGCGAAAAAGAACTGGTTATTGTTTTATTTTCTGTATCTGTCGTAAAAATTGTCTCACAAACGACAACGCTTATAAATGTAAAGATAAATATCAACTTCATCATGGGGCTTCCCATCGTAATGTTTCTCATTTTCTAATAAAATTTTGTATGTATTTTAAATTAACGTCTCTACCAAGATTATGTTCTTATATCGCTCAACGTTATTAGCACTTCGTTACTCAACCTGTCAAAATATTAAAAATCATTCATTACAATATATAAGCACAGTTATAACTATGTTGTTTATTTTTTTATAAGCGTTAAACCGTCAGCAAATACGTAGAGATCATGACTGAGCACGTTAGCCGCTGCACACCTTGTGAGGGGCACGTCTAAAGTGAAGTGTTCCTTCTTAATAACCAAGGCAGAAGAGCAACCACTTCTCAGTCAAAACATCTATAATTGGACAGACTGTAGGGCCCTCGCTTCAATGACGACCCTCTTCAAACCAGAGGACATACTTAGGGTGAACTTTACTCAACTAATTTGCATTTATAACAAATTTCTACTAATTAATAACGTACTTCTTCATTTAAATATTTTGATATTACGTTTTAAGTAATCAACGTGTAAATACGCCTTAATTTAAATAAGTATTTCATAGAATGCATCAATTAGCATGCATTTTCAGAATATTTTGGTGTACGATTTGGTGACGAGCCGATGCCACAAGTAATGCCGTTTTTCATCACCAGTATGTGAAATTTGTGTTCAGCTTTTTTGCATAGAATTCCTACCGTTAATTGAGCATCGTCCGTGGGTAAACCTGACACAGGTGAGGTTAGAATTGCGAGAAAAAACTAAAGTACCACAGAAAATGATCTTTTAGAATTTTTACAAAATAATTATTAAAAAGTGCAACTGTAATATTACACCATTTAGTCTGTGACTTTTTTTATAGGATAGGGTGACAAATGAGCACACAGTCTACCTGATGGTGAGTGGTTGCTGTGATCCATAGACATCTACATCTATCCTCAATAACGAATCAAAATGCAGATGCGTTGTCACCCGTGAAGACTAAGATGGAATGCCTCTTTTCCAGTAAAAGGGTCTCCGGTTCTCTACACTGAGCATACAAAACACAGCAGTGTTAGCTGCTATTTTACGCTGGTATTCTGTGAAAGCGTGGTCCTTCCCCGGTCGAGCCGACCCATTCGTGCTGCAACTATACTACTAATGTAGCTGCAGCATGGCTCTACCACGTAAAATACACACTTTTAAATTGTAGTACTAAATAATAATGCAGCGTAAGAAAATTTATCACCCCATATCGTCCCGTGGGTGCCGTAGAGGCAAGTGTGGGAACTGCCAAAACTGTATTTTATGGATTCTAATTGATGGCGATATAATCGTCTCGTTTATGCCATACGTAAAATATTCCGGCGTCGAGGAGCAGTATGGATGTAAGACGCGAAACGTCTGGTACAGTGATCACCAAATCGCCAAACCTGCCAAGCGTGGCGATTAAGGCGAAACCTTCGTACAATAGAAGAGGGCCATGAACGAATGTTAAGAAAAAGGAGAAGAATTTTATTTATGCAGTAATAGAGCATTGATTCATTTTAATATTTCATAATAAAATAAAGTCACAGTCTTTTCGATGTGCCATTGTTGGGCATAGTCTTCTATTTCTGGTAGAGTTCATATATATATATATATATATATATATATATATATATATATATATATATATATATATATATATATATATATATATATATATAATAATTAATAAATCATCTCTACATTTCTAATCAGCCATGCAGTGATATAAAAATAAATTTTATATATTCATAAAATTATGTCAACAATTATTTAAAAAGATATATTTAAATCTCTCGAAAGAAGATATAATATTGTAGTAACAATCTCGTAAATATTTACATTTACAAAAAATATTTATTTACATTGTTGATTGACAAAGTTAAATACTTACGTAAGTTTTTTGTACCTCATCTATTAACATTTCAGTACATAATCCTTTTTTATTGATTCTTCTGTACGTTTGTCTCCGTACACTGCACAGTATTAAAAGGTAAAGTTCATCTCATGTTGACATTAAGTACGAATTGGTAATTATTGGTATCGCTTTTCTAATTTGAGCACAAAATGTATAATTTTTAAAACGATATTTGACAAAACTGCGTTATTTAAATAGTATCTGTTACAAGACATATAATATTAATTTATAATTATTTTCTACTTAAAAGATAACAATGTTTTGGCATTAGGGCGCGTCGACGGGCGGGCGGCGCAGTCGATCGCAGCCTCCGTGGCACTGAGGGCGGCCGTAGTGAACCTCCGCACTCGCCGCACCCCCGCAGCCTCGCATACTCGAAACCTCCATATCCTTACTCAATTTTACTCCATTACGGTAATAACAGCCAAAATTTCCTTTAAAGGTATACCTATTTATTGTAATGTTTATCAATCTATAATCTATATGTATAAATATAAAAGATAAACCGCCCTATAAATCCAAGTACCATTACTGAATTAAGGTATTAAGTAACCCAAAAGACCTATAAAATGACCTATAAGAAAACCCAACGATATTTGCATACACAGATTTTTTGGATAAATAATATACATTAAAAAAAACTTGGTGACGACAATTGAAAAAATAGTTTTTGTACATAAGACATAAGTATACATTGTTTGAAAAAGAATGATCGTGATGTACTATATTCTGAGGATATTTGCGTAAATTTATTAGTAAAAACACGAGAACTTATTACAAGAAAGCCGTGATGTAACTGCAAATGTATCGCTTTCAGTATTATGTAATAAACAGTGAAGTGCGAGCCGTTGGCCGAACGCCAGTTCTGCTGTGACGATCCTTATCTTACGCGTGGATCCAACGCCAATATAACTTGGAAAAAATCAACTTCCTCCGTTACGTTCAGAACACTCACATGCGCTTAGTATTGGGCGCTTTCACATCTGCCGATAACGACCAACTGATACCGACACGATCTCGACGGATAGGTAAAGTATCACACATTTACAACCACCTTCACTTTTTAATGAATAGGGGTAACAAACAAGCACACAGTCCATCTGATGGTAAGTGGATGTTGTGGCCCATAGACATCTACATTACTCGTATATACATTATCTCGGTTAAGAATCAAAATGCAGATTCTTTGTCACCCTTGAGAACTTGAACGATACGAGATACCTTAAAAGGTACCTTCACCATACACTATCAGCAACTACCACTACACAATACGACGTTCGATAATATCTATAGTATATGGAGAAGACTCCATCTATACATATAAATAAAATAGAAGTGTCTGTCTGTAGTATTAAAATAACTGGCTATTAAGCTCATTTTTTTTTTCATTATTTTCATGCTATTAAGACTAAGAGCGACCAATCCATGGCTGGGATCTGTCTCCGATGGTCACCACAGAGGATGGAATAAAAAGTTCCACATCACATACCTGAAGTACGACATCAGCAACAGAATCGGCAACAACGCTAAGATCTTCCGGCGAGAAGCAAACCCGCGCCCAAAGGTAGGATGCAAAAAGACCGCATCCCGTCCCAATCGGCCGACCTATAGTGCCAAACACGGTGACAAGCTGCAGATCGCAACGGCGATGGGAGCGTGAGTGGCACCGTACTCCGGATCAGACAATGGTCCGAAGAGCCCAGAGGGGAGTCATCGACGGAGACCTGATATCTGTCCGGATGAGGTCAGCATAAGGTCCAACAGGGAAGGTCATGATCCTCCACATCTGGGATCCGTGTAGGCGAAATAACCAGTAGTGTTAGACCATATTCCAAGGCAAAGTCATAGACAGATCTACCCGCATGATCGGTTAAACGGGAACCAAGCCATTCAGCGTGGTGGGCGTTAAAATCACCGAGTATCACGATCTCTGCGGATAGAACCTGTTGTAGCACGGAGTCTGCGGCCATTTGGACGTGGTCGATGAGTCGGTCTGTGTCGGCATTACCGCTATGGGCCCTATAGAGGCACCCGTAGACGCGAGGATGGTCGTCGCTGTCTACGCGCAGTCATAGGATGGACAGGTCCGTACCTTCAAGACTGCCGAGGCGTCGAAAACAGATGTTCTCTCTGACGTATACGCAAATCCCAGCCCGAGGCACAAAGGAGTGTTCTAATTTGTACTCCGGTTCTGTGAGGTCGTGGTACCACCCCGGTTGGAGCCGGCCCATCCGTGCGACAGCAAAAGCTGCCGCGTGGCTCTACCACTGTTAAATATCTGTCTGTTTGTCTGTTCGGGCTAATTTTTGAACCGATTGTGATAAAACTTTACGAACAGATAGAGATCAAATCTAGAAAGGATTTAGACTACATTTTATCCAGGAAAGTAGATTTTTTGGAAATAAGAATAATTAATAGCATAAATGATCTTTGATTATCTTAAATATAAATAACGCCACTTTAATAGATCCTATCCAGGCGAATCCGGGGCGGATCGCATGTTTAACATGTAAAAAGATAGAAGTAAGAGTAATTTTGTAAAATACTTCCATTTTCCTTAGGAGCATAATGTCGGATTTATACCATAACAATGACGAGATAATATTATACTGCGATGATGTGTGATATTGGATTGTTTGAACGTTGCCATCGGCGAATGTAAAAGCGCCCATTGCTGGCTTCCTTCCAATACACGGCGGTTGAGTCCCCCATATCGTTGCATTCTTATAACTTAAAAAATTCATGGCTTTACTTAATTGGCTTTAATTTTATGGAAAATAAATTTAAATTTACATCTAGGCTTTCCTACGACATCTTTTTTAACGAATAAACCTAGTTTGATTCCCAGTGTTGGCATGCTGGTTTTTTTTTTGTTTTTATATGTCGTAAACATATAAGCTATTAAAACTAAACATTTTATTTGCTGCACACCTGCATATCCCACAAATAATGAAATACATTACTAACACAAGAAGTCGGCAAACCCTCGCCGTAGTGCGGAATAGTTCTATCAAGCACAGTACTGCAGCAGTATATTTTTGGTTTATTTTCCTCACAAAAATGAGTTACTTATACTTAACTCATTTTTTGTGAGGAACTATTTTCGGACTAATTCCAGCCGCTCAAT